TCCTCTATCCCCCCATTTTAAGTGTAGGGTGTCATATTTTACATCCTTTTATTTTGTGCATTCCTTGACTGATTTCTTACAGAAATACTCATTTTTACTGCTTCAGTGTTTCCTACCTTTTACTGTCCCTTTTGGTCTCTCCTTTCCACTTAGGATCCCCTTTAATATTTCTCCCAGGGCTGGGTTATTAGTAGTCTTGACTCCTTTAGTTTTTGTTTGTCTGGGAAGCTCTTTATTTCTCCTTCTATTCTGAATGATAGCCTTGCTGGATAGAGTATTCTTGCCTTCAGGTTATTCCCATTTTGCATTTTGAATATATCATACCATTCATTTCTGGTTTATAAAGTTTCTGCTAAAAAATCCACTGATAGCCTTATGGGGTTCCCTTTGTATGTAACTGTCTGCTTTTGTCTTGCTACTTTTTATATTTTTTCTTTAATCACCATATTTTGCCATCTTAATTACAAATATGTCTTTTTCTAAAGATTTTATTTATTTGAGAATGGGGGAGAGGGACAAGCACCTCTGCAAAGTGCAGAGCCTGATATGGGGCTTGGTCTCATGACCCTGAGATCATGACCTGAGCCAAAACTAATAGCTGAATGCTTAACTGATAGAGCCACCCAGGCACCCCTACAATATATCTTGATGTGGATCTGCTTTTGTTAATTTTGTTAGGGGTTCTCTGTGCCACCTGAATCTGGGTATCTTTTTCCTTCCCAGATTAGGGAAGTTTTCAGCCACTATTTCTTCAAATAAATTCTCTGCCCCTTTTCCTCTTTATTCTTCTTCTGGGACTCCTATAATATGAATGTTACTATGTTTGATAGAGCCACTGAGTTCCCTAAATCTGTTCTCATTTTGCCTAGTTCTTTTTTCTCTCTTTTGTTCATCTTGATTATTTTCCATTTCTGTCTTCGAGGTCACTAATTCATTCCTTTGCTTCTTTCAGCCTGTTGTTCATTCTATCAGGTGTGTTTCTCATTTTGTTTATTGAGCCCTTTGTCTCTGCTTTGTTATTCCTTATCTCTGTGTTAATGGTCTCATGGATGCGGTCCACTCTTAAGTCCAGTGAGTATCCTTGTGATCATTGCTTTAAATTCTCCATCAGGGGGCGCCTGGAAGGCTCAGTTGATTGAGCATCTGACTCTTGGTTTCTGCTTGGATTGTGGCCTCAAGGTCATGGGATCAAACCCCTTGTTGGGTTCCACGCTCAGCATGGAGTCTGCTAGGATTCTCTCTTTCTCTCTCTCTCTCTCTCTCCCTCTGCTCCTACCCCTGCTCACACTGTCTCTCTAAAATAAATAGATCTTTTTTAAAAATAAAAATAATTAAATAAAAATAAATTCTCCACTGGACATGTTACTTATATCTGTTTCACTTAGATCTCTGGCCGGGGCCTTGTCCTATTCCTTCATTTGGGGCAAATTCCTCTGTCTCCTTTTTTCCACATCTTCTATGCCCATTCTGTATGTTAGGAGAGGCAGCTCCATCTCCTATTCTTGAGGGTAATGGCTTTGTGAAGAAGAGGTCCTGCAGTGGCCTGCTGTGTAGTATCTCCTGTTCCCCAGGGTCTGGCACTTCTGGGAGTGTCTCTAGTTTGTGCTGTGTGGGCTCCGCTCTTGTGTCCTGCCCACTTTATCCTTCAGGCCAGTCATCTGCAGAGGTTCTCTTTGCCTGCTGTGGGCCGTGTTTGGTCCCTGGCCTGAATGTGGCCCATTGTAACTAGTCGTGCTCTGGTCTGTTTGTGAAGTGAGACCTATTGGTGCTGCCACAGGATCTGAGGCCTCACAAAACTCCTGGGTCAGGAGACGCAGTGTTGGCAAGGGTTTGGGCCAGTCTTCTCAGCCTGCAGACCTGGGGCTAAGGCAGCTGTGACTGGGAAGGGCCTTTCTTTTGGAGCGTATGGGTGTGGAAGAGCTTGGGTATAAGCAAGTTAGGTAGCAGGTGTCCCTGTGCTGGTTCCTGCAGGTGGTCCCGGGCTTACGCTGGGGGGGCGGGGGCAAGTGAAATAGTATCAGCCAGTTTCTTTGTTACCTGAGGGGTCTCTCCATGAATGCTGCCTGTCTGGGACATGCTCCCAAGGTGAGCAAATTACCTTCATACTGTGTGCCCCAGGCGCTCTTGAGATCTCTGTTTCTACACTGTGTATCAGTGGGCTGTTGGTCCTTCCTTCTCCCCAAGAGCAGCCCCAGTGTCCTCTGAGCTCTCCCAGAGCCAAGCACACTGACATTTAAAACTCTAGGCTTTGGGGCACCTGCATGGCATAGTCATTAAGCGTCTGCCTTTGGCTCAGGTCATGATCCCAGGGTTCTGGGATTGAGCCCCAGATCAGGCTCTCTGCCCCATGGGAAGCCTGCTTCTCCCTCGCCCACTCCCCCTGCTTGTGTTCCCTCTCTTGCTGTGTCTTTCTCTGTCAAATAAATAAGTAAAATCTTAAAAAAATTAAACTCTAGACTTTAAGCCCTACTGATTGCAAGAACTTAAGAAATTCAGGCCCTCTCGCTCTCGCTTTCCAAGTCAGTTGCTAGGGGGGATTTGTTGTCCCCACATGCGTCCCTGTGTGCTAGTCTGTCTCTTGCCCTTCTCCATGACCAAGGCTCCGTCCCCACTGTAGCAGCCATAATCTGTTTCTTTCCCAAGCCAAGTCTCTGTATTGCCTACCTTCTTCAGTGTGGCTTCTTCTCTACCTTTACTTGTGGAGTTTGTTCTACCAGTCTTCAAAGAAGCTTCTGGGGCATTTTAGGATGATTTGATAGTTATCTAGTTGTATTTGTGGGAGGAGGCAAGCCTTAGGGTTCTTCTACTCTGCCACTGTCTTCCAAGATCTCTCTTGAGAAAGAATAGTCTCTTTAATGAATGATACTGGAATAATTGAATATCCATATTTAAAAGAATGAAGTTAGATCTCTACCTCCCTTCATATGCAAAAAGAAGCTCAAAGTAGATCAGAGACCTGAACATAGGGTTAGAATTATAAAACTCCGAAGAAACCATAGGAGTAAATCTTTGTGGCCTTGGATTAGGCAGCGGTTTCTTGATATGACACCAAAAAAGCACAAGCAACAAAAGAACATATAGACTGGACCTCATTGAATTTAAAATTTTGTACTCTAAAGGACACCATCCAAAAGGTGAAAATACAACCCTCAGAACGGAATAAAATATTTACAAATCCTGCATCTGATAGGGGACTTACATCTAGAATATATAAGTAGCTTTTACAGCACAACAATAAAAAGACAAATGGCCCAATTAAAAGGGGCAAAAGATTAGAATAGACATTTTTCCAAAGAGGATATGCAAATGGGCAATAAACACATAAAAAGATGCTTGACATCATTAGTTATTAGAGAACTACAAGTCAAAACCAAATGAGATACTACTTCATACCAGCGAGGGTGACTCTCATCAAAAAGTCAGTAACAGGTGTTGAGGATATGGAGAAATTGGAATCCTCATACGTTACTGGTGAGAATGTAAAATGGTACAGCCACTCTGGAAAGGAGTTTGGCAGTTCCTCAAAAAGTTAGATAGAATTACTGTATAATCCAGCAATTCCATTTGTAAGTATATTCCCAAGAGAATTGAACAGATACGTCTGCATAAAAACTTGTACACAGAAGTTCATAGCAATATCAGCCATAACAGTAAAAAATGGAAACTACTGAAATGTTTATCAGTTGATGAATGGATAAACAGATGTTGTAGATCCATAAAATGGAAAATTATTCAACCATAAAAAGGAATTAAATACCAATACATGCAACATCATCGATGTCCCGTGAAAACATGCTGAGTGAACAAAAGCCAGTAAAAAAGCCCCACATGTTGTATGATGGCATTTATATGGAATAGCCAAAATAGGCAAATCCAGAAAGTAGATTAGTGGTTGCCAGGGAATGGAGTAGGGAGGATAGGGAGAGATTGCTTATAGGCAGGGGTTTCTTTTTGGTGTTAGAAACATGTCCCAAAATTAGATCGTGGTGATGGTTATACAACCCTCTGAATATACTAAAAACCTTTGATGGGCATACTTTAAAAAGGGTGAATTTTATGATATGTAAATTATATCTCAACAAAGCTGTTATAAAAAATTAGATTTAGCACTTTGGTTAATTCAAGTAGCATAGCTTCCAACATGTCAACTCACAGACTTTTAAAATTGAAATTAATGAAAATGTAAATCTTATGTAAAATTTAAGCATAATTAGCCAAAGTAAAAATGCAGTTTTCTGAACCACTATTTAATTTTTATCATGCTGTTTTATTTCCTCATATTTTTCATTGATGCTTTTGCAAATTAATGCAGGATTCTTCTTTTAATTTCTTTAAAATGTGTTTAGAATGTCAGAATGGAAACAAGGTTTTAAGAAATTAAGTATAAATTAGAATAGCATGAAAGAACAAGATTGTTATTACAAAACAGCTGTGTTTGATAGTGGTGTATTCTTGTAGATTCCAGAAATAAGATCCCTCACAGTTATATAAGCTACAGGGCTTGGGAGAAAGGCTGAGAAGTTTAGGGTTAGGATGAAGTCTGAGTTTAGCTCAAACCCATGAGGAGGGCTACTTCCTTCTCTTGTTGACTTCCCATTTGGGAAGGTTTTTCAGGTTGGGGGTTGATCAGGAGTATAAGGAAAAATTACTCTTTCCATTCTATTGTGCAGTTATTCCTCAAACCACAGTGCTATTTGATTCCGTGTCTGGGAATCTTAGTAGTGGGTATCATGGACAGATTTGTACAGAGGCCAGAACCTTGGTAAGTTTCTTGATGCACATCAAGGTAATTTCATCTTCCTCGATCTTCCTGGAACACTTGAAACCCATAACAGTCACAATGTAGATGCCTACAGGGATTAGTGAATGTTAATTATCATACCACGGAAAGATACATATTAACAGAGTTTTGCCCAAACTAATTTCAGAAGACCTACATTAGCACATGCAGAAGATTGAGAAAGAGAATGAATTTAATGAAGTGACTGTTTTTTCTTTAGCTGCTTTCAAAATTGTGAAATCCTGGCTTGGTCCGGAAGCAGTGAGTTTGTTGAAGTTTACCAGTAAAAGTGACGTCCAGGACTATGTCAGTGTGGAGTACCTGCCTCCCCACATGGGTGGGACTGTAAGTATCGTCCTTGAAATGTGTTTCTAAAATAAGACTGCATCATGGCGCATTAGGCTGCCATTGGCGCATTCTTTCCTTAAGGAAAAAGAAAAAGCAGTATCCTAACATCCAGAGAAAGATCATAGATACTCCAAAATAACACCAATATAGACATTTTTATATAAGTTTTCAAGTTGTTCAGTTTTCATTTTGAGTACGTTCTGTATTTACGTGGTTCTAAACTGAAAAATATTTGGTATTCAGTACAAATATTCAGAAACAATATTCCACAGAAAGGCTTTCTACTGCTATCCCAGTCACTCTCTTCCTCTGCCCAGTTCCGTGTCTTTTATCTATTTCCATGAATCGGTATCGCCCATGTAAGCAATGCAGGATATATGTAATACATATAAGCAAAGATGTATGTAATTCTTCCTCCCTCCCATCTCTTTTAAACAAGTAGTGTATTTTTACACCATTGTGCATCCTCCTTTTTTCTTTACAACATATCTTAGAGATCGTTCCAGATCAATATGACAAACTATTTTTTACTCTTGTTTATGGTGACATAGTATTCCTGTATCTAGAGATGAACCATAAATTATTTAACTGGTAACCATGAGTTACTGAATTTTTTTCACGTGCCTTTAGTTTGCTTCCATTTGTTTACTGTCGAACAGTCTTTTTAATTTAAACAATCATATATATTAACAAGTTTTTTGAAATGGTTTTGCTACTTACAAATGAGAGACCAGGAATAAGTAGGTCTATGTTAAATTTTTAATACTACATAACAGTGAAACATACGGTGATAATGATTTTTCTTCTGAACTATGAAAGCTTGTGGATTTGGTGTGCTTTGGGTTAACTTGATTGTTAATATTTCAATTGTTTGATTTTTACAATCTACTACATACACTGTCTTACCTGGTATAATTGTATTCAACCAGAATCAAGTGACTAGCAAGATAGAAAGTTTTGGTATGTCCTTTTGTTTTCTTTGATTAGAAAAAAAACTTGAACCAATACTTTTACTTTGAAATTTGCAACTTTCCTATTTTGAGGCTTTGTATTTTACATTTTAATAGCAGAACACAGTATGGTTCATTTCAGGTACTACCTTTAATTAAATGAGCTAGTTGACTGATTTGTTTTTAATAATTTGCCCACAGAATTGTTGTACCTTAAAATTGATGGGATCTAGTAAAAAATATTTTTAGGGGTAGAAAATATCTCCATTCTCTGTCATTAATGGTGTAGTTTTTTAGGACAAATTTTTCCCCAAAGTAATACATAGACAGCATTTTTAAAAAAGCAAACAGTACCAAAAGACTGAAAAGTACAACAGTGTCGTGAAAAACATGTCTCCCTCCCCACATTACTCCCCACTGCCACTCTCCAAAGGCAGTTAGTCACTGTTTTCCAGGTTTTCTCTCCTGGAGATACTCTGTCCATTTTATTTTTTCATGTATGTTGTTTTACTGGTTTCCCCACATCATTTCTTGCCAGGTTATACCATACTGATTCTTAGAGGTCTCATTCTTTAAACCACTACAGACTATTCCATTACACAGATGTAAGATAATATATTTTAATCAGTTCTCTTTTAAGGGACTGGTAGTTGTTTCCTAACCTTGCCATTATTAATGGTGCTGCAGTGACTAGCCTTGTAAATAACCCTTGGTACATGGGTACAGCAGTGTAAGTAGAAGATGAACTCCTAGAGGTAAAATCATCAGGTCAATAGGTATTCGTAGTTTAAATTTTATCTGTTGCCAGTTTCCCACTAAAGAGATTGTGCTCACTCCCCAATAGTGTGTGGCAATGCTTGAACGACTTCCGTGCCAACATCACATACTCTCATTTTTGTAATCTTTGCCAGTCTTGGGTGCAGAATATTGTGGCTTTGCATTTCTGTTATTGTAAGTGGTGTTGAACATTTTTTCTGATATAAAAGCGTAGTCTGTTCTTTTTCTATGAACTCTATCATTCCTTTATTTTTTGTTCTGTTATCGCTCTTTTCTCCTTGATTTGTATGTATTAACAAAAGCTGTCTTGTTTCTGATACATGTGGTACATAATTTTCCCAGTTGTGGCTTTAAAGAAACAAACTTGGCTTTTTAGGGGGTTTTCTTGGCAGAGGGTTGTGGGTGGCTGGTTGATTGCTGGGTTTTACTTTTTGCAATTCAGAGAGGTTTCATTTTAGCGTGCTCCATTTTTATCAATATTTTTATGCCTGCTAGGTTTTGTGCTATGATTCGAAAGGTCTTTGTTACTTAGGTTTTGTGTTTTGTTTTCTGTTTTTTAAGCCTGTGTGTTGTTCTGGAGGTTTTTTTGTTTTTGTTTTTTTTAAAGCTTACATGGGTTTTAAAAAAGACACACTTTTGGAGTGCCTGGCTAGTTCCATCGGATGAGTGTGCTACTCTTGATCTCAAGGTCATGGGCTTGAGCCCCATGTTGAGGGTAGAGATTACTAAAGATAAATAAATAAACTTTAAAAAAATAAACACTTCCAAGATTCTAATCCATCTGAAAATCTTCTGGTGCGAAGAATGAGCTAAAGATCCAGCTCGATGCTTTCACAGATGGCTAGCCACTTGTCCACACCACTTAACTGCTCTTTCCCTTTGTGTTGGGAAATGCTTCCTTTTTTAAAAATTTCACTAATTAAGTCTGGTTTTCTTTTCTGGTGGTTTTTTTTTTTTTTTTTGGCCTGGAGAATGGATTTTAATTTTACTTAGAGAATTCTTTCTCTACCCACCTCTTAGCAGGCTGTTATAAAATTCCTTTCTCTTAGGATCCTTTCAAGTATAGCTATCCCCCACTAGTGGATGACGACTTCCAGACACCATTGTGTGAAAATGGGCCTATTGCTAGTGAGGATGAAGCTTCAAGTAAAGAAGACCTAGAAAGTGATGGCAAAGAAACCTTGGAAACAGTTTCTAATGAAGAACAAACAACTCTTCTAAAAAAGGTAATTCTAACAATACAATGGTTTCAAAACCTGCGGTTTGTCCACCACTCTAGAACTAGTTAGGGACATGATTGTGAGTAATTCATTTAACTTGCTGTCCTTCCACATCTTTGTAAAAAAGAGGAAGGATGGTACTAGCTAACCAGTAGTGTCACTTTGGTGGTTCAAAAGGCTGCTTTCAGGGGTTCCTGGGTGGCCCAGTCATGAAGCGTCTGCCTTTAGCTCAGGTCATGATCCCAGGGTCCTGGGATCGAGCCCCCGCACGGGACTCCTTGCTCAGCGGGAAGCCTACTTCTCCCTCTCCCGCTTCCCCTGCTTGCGTTGCCTCTCACTGTCTCTCTCTCTGTCAAATAAATAAAATCTTTTAAAAAAAAAGGCTGATTTCATGCATTTGTATAAAAATTGACAAAATGTACTTTGAAGGAACTGTTTTATTGAAAATGTTTTTGATTTATCTGAGATAAAGTCAAAGTAATTCATTATGTTTTTTATTATGTTAGTCACCATCCAGTACTAATTAGATTTTGATGTAGTGTTCCATGATTCATTGTTGGTGTGTAACACCCAGTGCTCATTGTGATATGTGTCCTCCTCAATACACCTTGCTGGGCTAGAAATCAGTTTAAAACCTTCTATTTCCTCTATTTCTATTTTGAAAGGGCACTTAGTTATCTTTTTGAGTCATCAGGGGCTTGGTAAGAGGGATAAATATGTTATAACTCAGAGCCAATTCAAAGACTGTAAGGGAAAGACCATGTTATATTTTCTGTAGTGACTTATTTAACTATGCTTTCAAATATATGTACATGGTCATGTTAATATATGGTAAATACATAATTTAAGTGTACTAAACTTATGTTAAAGATTGTAATTTGGATTGAATCACCGTTAATGTTTACTTTTTGAGCTAATGAACTTCCCAGCTATCAGGATGAAACTAAATTTTTTTATCTTTTCTTTCTTCTTTTTTTTTTTTTTTTTGGTCTTTAGATTAACCTAACTGAACATACTTCCAAAGCAGAAGAAAATGAAAAGGTTGATTCCAAAATGAAAGCTTTCAAAAAACCATTGAGTGTGTTTAAAGGGCCTTTATTACACATCAGGTAATCATAGTTGATTTTATTAGCTACGCTTTTATAACCTGTCTTGATTATCTTGAAGGAATTGCAAAATTAAGAAAACTCCTGTACTGTTTTTCAAACTGTGGAAATATAAAATTAAAAGATATCCAAAGACTCAACTTGGTTTCCAGTCATCGTAGATATTCTAGCTACCTTTTTGTTATTTATTCTATTAAATGTGTTTAAAGGGCCCTCATTTCATACCAGGTAATAAAAATGAATATTCATATATTAATAGTTAATCTGAATGACACACATTTTTTCTCATTTTACTGGTACTGTTTGGCTTGCATAGTTTGAAGGATGTCAGAAATGGCATTGAACTAAGCATTTATCAGTTTGACCTTCTAAAAGCTAAAGCTGAACTAGAAAAATAGGTGTTTTACCAAAGCTAGATTTCAGTACATCTCTATTTTTTTTCTGGGTTACTCAATCTAAGATTCAGGGTTGTTGGTAATTAACCATTATGTAAAGATCTCTTTCTCACTACTGTTTCTTTTCGTTGGTAAATCTGTATGGCTTTATGTTAATACTGCTATAACCAACTTTTCTTAGTGATGATCTAATGTATCATTTCCCATCCCATACTTGAAATCTCTGTGTTTCAAGTATGACTCTTACGAACAGTACAGCTAGACTTTTTAAAAACCTAAAATTCTAATTGAGAAATCTGGTTTGTTTACACATTTTTGATTACTGTTATATTTGGATTTATCTCTACAATCTCTGTGTGTTTATGGGGAGTGCCGAGGAGGGGGACAACATATGCATATTCTGCCGGTCATGGTTTTTCTTTGCCGGTTTCCCCCCTGTGAAGTTTGTTTTCCATTTTTCCCTTTACTGGTTGAGGAATTACACACTGTTTTTTCATTGGAAGCCTCTCAAAACCATAGGTCTCAGCTTACCAGTGTGAAGGGTTGGCTGGAAGAGCTGCCTAGGGAGAAAGCCGGAGTAGAGCCAGGGTAGGGCTGCAGGTCACAGCACTGCTCCTGCACAGGCACATGGACGGACCTCCACCAACATCGGTCTCCCCACCATGTCTCAAGGCTTTTGAGCTGGTTACTGAGAGCGGTTTTGAGATTCATGACCTTCTTCTCTTCTCTGTGGTCTATTTCCGATTGGGTTCTAAAAGGAAGCCAGCCAGCATGCTAATTTGTCTTGTCCAGAGTTGGGCAAAGCCCTCCTTGGAAAACACGTCTTTAAAAATGTGTGTCCTCCAGATGAATGGCTCTGATATATGTAGACATTCCTGATATAAAACAAATCTACTTAAATATATAGTTCGAAGTGAAGGCCAGTCTGAAGAATTCACCTTTTTATCTAAAACAAAAAAAAAAACAGTTCTGCCCATTGTTTGGAGGCACCTGATATAGTTCGACTAATGTAATTAAACTACACAAACTCTGCTTCAGTCTTTTAGTTTTTCTTTTAGGTTGTGAGTACGACCAGGGCCTGTAATAGTAAAATTTGCATTTTGAGGTTCACTGATTTTACTGCTTAACCAATACTTCCCACCCCAAATTTTATTTTTGTGTTTTTCGTATTCCATAATACTTAGAAAAAGCTGTTTTTATTAAGGAATTACATAAGGAATTATTCTGTGACTTAAATACATCTCTAATGACCTTCCGTTTTAAGTTATGCTTTTCTCTGTTGGTGTATAAAATTATGCCCCCATCTAATCTCTTTGTAATTAAAGTTGCAGCAACAGTTTCTTCTTTGTTTTGATTATCTGTAACCTTCCGAAGAGTTTACATGCACCCTAAGATGGTGCTGATTATAGGCTAATTTAGAATATTCCTAATTCTCTCTCCTTTCCTTTTCCTAGTTTGCTTTTGATTCTTGGGGGAAACCACAGGACTTTTAAATAGCATGCAATCAATTAGTAAGATTAAAACACAAACTCTATCAGGTAATTGCTTTGTAATCTTTTCTTTCTTGAAGAAGTCTCTTTATACAAATGAGCAGCAAATATTAACCAAATACTTTCCTTCCAGCTAATGATTAGATTGTCATTTGTTCTGAATAATACAAATGCTTTATATTTTTGTCACCACCTAGCCCAGCAGAAGAACTGTATTTTGGAAGTACAGAATCTGGAGAGAAGAAAACTTTAATAGTGTTGACAAATATAACAAAAAACATCGTAGCTTTTAAGGTAAATATCAGAAAGATATAAATTCTAGGTGGAAATCTGATCTGGGAAGTGATTTCAGACATTTTAATTGAACAATTGAGAATTTTTTAATTTGCAGTGTTTTTATGACATTTTTAGGCATGTTATACTGCCTTCTAGTTTTAACCACATGGCATAGCTTATCTACAGTTTTCCCCGGGATCTGTATCTCAATCTTTAATGAGCCATAATAGGCTAATGTCCAAATTAATTCCAGGCCTTAATGTTTGTGGTAAATAAAAAGCCAAGGAAAATCACTCATTATATAGATAATTCATACTAACGGTGAAAAATAAAACTATAAAATCAAAAGTGCATTTTCCCCCGAGTGTGATATAGTTTGGAATGTACTTTATACTAGATACTAACCCAATGATTGAGTTTACCACTGCCCCATAATGTGTTATTTCCTTAAATCATTTTAATTTAACCACTAAGATGTTCTGGATGTTCTTTGAATATCTAATGTGTTTTAATGTATGAATGCTATTAAAATATGTCCTGATCCCCAGGTTTTTTTAAATTTTTAATTTGCATTAAAGTTAAGAAATCACCAGACACAAGATATTTCATAGAAAGGCTAAGTGAGACTAGATTGAGATACTGTTTTCCTGTTGATGGGGAAAGATACATTCTATGCCTAACCACCGTGGTTGTTTTGTAGACTTCATTATTAACTGTTAACTTTTTCCATCTCATTTTTAAGCCATTTATCCCCAAGAAGCACTTTTCTTATGTTACTAGTTACTATAGGACTAGTATAATTGTAAAAACACAATTATACAATTGTAATTATAAATGCATAATTGTAAAATACAATTGTAATTACAAACAGGTGAGAACAACTGCTCCAGAAAAATACAGAGTCAAGCCGAGCAACAGCAGCTGTGACCCTGGAGCATCAGTTGATATAGTTGTGTCTCCCCACGGGGGTGAGTGGTGGCCCGATGGCCTCAGAGGGTGTGCTGGGGGGTACCTGGGCTGGGTGGGGATCTGTAGAGCCAGACTAGAATCTAGAAATCAGCTGAGTGTCAACAAGTCACCTCATTGCACTGTAGGCATCTATTTTCTCATGTGTAAAATGAGATAGGTCCATGGGTCTCGTTAAAATTTTTGTAAATATTTTAGTTCTCTGACAGAGCAAGCGTAAGCAGGGGGAGCAGCAGGTAGCGGGAGAAACAGGGAGCCCAGTGCAGGACTCGATCCCAGGACCCTGAGATCGTGACCTGAGCCGAAGGCAGCGGCTTATCCAACTGACCCCTCCAGGTGCCCCTAAAGTTGTTTGTTGAAACTGATGCCAGTTTACATTGAATTTTTTCGAAAGTTTCCCTTTTTAGAAAAATATTTTAAGGTACTTCATACTATTTTTCCATTGTGTTCAAGAATATAATGCCTTAAGCCCTGTGTCCAACCCTTTGTAAAGGTTCTTGTTTATATAGTAAGTCATCCTTTTGGAACACAGGTTTAACAGTCTCTGCCCAAGACCGTTTTCTGATCATGGCTGCAGAAATGGAGCAGTCATCTGGCACGGGCCCAGCAGAATTGACTCCGTTCTGGAAAGAAGTTCCCAGAAACAAAGTGATGGAGCACAGGTATGCTTTTCACTCACAGACTCTCAGATGTGATGGGAAGAATGAGAGAGAGAGAGAGAACTGCCTGCGTGGACAAGGCAGGGGTCTCCTCCTCGCATTTGGCACACATTTAGGCTTCTGGGGTGACCTCAAGCTCTCCGGAGCTCTGGGGTGCCCAGGTGAAGGTGAGCGCAGTTTCTCAAGGAGCTCGCTAATAGCAGACTTGCTTCCAGGCCAGTGCAGGAATCTGGACGTGTCAGAATTACATAGATTGCTCTGTCCCAGCAGTTCCTTTGTAGGCACTTGTCTTGGGTACTGGAATGTGTGTGTGGCAGCATTGTGTGTACTAGTGAAAAATGGGAAAGAATGAACCTAATGAACCCCAGTAAAGTAACAGGAAAATGCACTTGAATCTGTAGCTGTTCAAAAGAGTGTGGTAAATCCGTATGTCACGCCATGAAAAAATTCCTAGGATACATTAGGAGGAAAAGCCTGTGGGGTGATTTTGGAGTGTACCCGTTCTGCCTCCCAGGGGGCCACTTGTCAGTGTCTGGGAGTGTTGTTCATTATCACAGCTGGGCAGTGGGGGACTGTGGCATCCAGCAGTTAGAGACCAGAGACGCTGCTAAACATCCCCCAAGACAAAGATCTGGCTCAAAATGTCAATAGTGCCTAGACAGAGGATTCTCGATGGTGGGTGGTTTTTGTAGGACCTGAAGGATACAAGAGAGTAAGCCATGTCAATAACCGGGAAAAGTGCTTTCCAGGTAGAAGGAACCACAACTGAAACAGGAGTGTGCTTGGCCTGTGTAAGTTACAGCAAGGAGGTAAATGTAGCTTGAATCTAGTAAGGGGGCTGGGGGAGACAATGTGGGAGATGAGGTCAAAGAGGTAGTAGGTAACCAGAGTGAGGAAGTCTGATTTTGAGAGGAAAATCTATTAGTTGGTGCTAAGCAGAGTCAGGAAGTGATTTGGCTTTTTCTTTTTTTAAGGGCTTATTCTGGGGGCCGTGTTGAAAACAGACTTTAGGCAGACACAGGTGAAAGCGTGATATTGAGTTAACACGAATAGCTTGGGCTGCCAGCCTGTGCCGTTCTAAGTGCTTTACTCTGATTTATTCACTCCGTCATTCAAATGACCCTAGGAGGTAGGTAGTTCTTTGTCCCCCTTGATAAATGAGAAGCTGGGAAACCTTGTAACGGTCGTGGCCAAGTTAAATCTTCAAAAGGAATTTAAAGAATACAGATGTAGCTGGCACACAACAGGTGAAAGGATCCAGGGTAAGAAGAAAGCTGGAGAGGCAGGCAGGGCCCAGAGGAGGAGCTCGGTCACCATGGTGAGACCCATGGGAGAGCGGCAACCGGACCTGATTCACCTTTGTCAGGATCACTGCAGGCTTGTTCACAGACAGGAGGAGGACAGGCGTGGGCCTGGGAAGACGAGCTTTATTTCAGTTGCCCCAGCCTGGAGGCCTAGTTAGTGGCCAGAGGAAGACGGTCCGAGCAGGGATTCAGGAGGGAAACCAGTAGGTGAACTGTGTCCTCAAAGTCTAGGAAAGCATGTTGGACAAAAAAGTAAGGGACCAGTGCTACTAAGTACTGCCATCCGGCCAAGAAGGATGAGGTGGGAGCAGTGGCCATTGGTGACATCACAGAGGTCATCACTGACATCAGAGGGAGCATTTTCAGTTGGCAGGAGCCAGGTTCTCAAGAAATGAAGGCAAACCTAGAGGTTTGGCTTGTTGGCAGAAGGAAGAATGTGGTGTTGACAAAGGGTCTGTTTGGCACAGGTCTGTCAATGGGAGAAGCCAACTCTACAAGGTAAATCATTGGCAGGTCCTGTCCCTTCAGCTTTCTTGGGAGTTTCACTCAAGCCAAGGTAGGGATCAGTTTTAGTCCAGAAAAAGGAAGGAACACAGATACACATTAAGGCTCGTGGTGGGCTTGACTTGTTTTTAGATGGAGTAGTTACATATCTACATGTCCATATGATAACAGGGTCTACTTACTCCTTTATCAAGAGTTCATTTTTCTCAAGAGTTCATTTTTCTCAAAGTCATGGCTATGAAAACAAATGGAAAGAATAAGTAAGTAACACTGGTATAACAGACAAATATTCATTTGAAGTTCTTATCAGACAGTCCCTCAGAAGCGGGTTTGGGGTTTTTTTAAATCAATTCCTCCTGGTTTGGTTTTCTGTAAGTCAGGAGAGGGTGACTTATCTCACAGAGGGAGCCTCAGTGGTTTGGTACTGAAGGCCAGGTAAAGCATGACTCCCATCTAGAAAGGGTGGTTTCCTTCAAGTAGTAAGACGGGATGAATTCTACTGAACACCATAAAAAAAAAAGTTTCCCTGAGTTATGGAGTGGCATCTATAATTGCTTGTATTATTATACATACATTAAGAAGCAGAAGAGGTAGGGAAGGGAAAATAATTTTGCCTCTTCCCACCTTAAATACCATCTCCAGCAAAAGACAAAAGAAAAGTGGCAGGGGCGGGGGAGCCAGTTAGGAGAGGTTATCAGGAAAAGCACAGTAAACAAGGGTAAGGTTATTATACAGATTTAGATGAATTCCTGTCTTATCAAAGACCCTGAGCCGGCCAAGGTAAGGGACCTACCTTACTCACCTGGTAAGGCTGTCCAAAATCCTATAAGCAAGGTTACAGGTCCATTTTTCCTTTCTAAGGGGCTTTATTGGTTCCATAAAGTCAACCTTAGTTCCTTAAAGTTGTCTGGTCATACCTGATTTTATGTGTATTATTTTCAAATATGAATCCAGTGAAAGCCTTGGTAATACAACCATGCTTCCAATTGTGTCCTAATATAACGAGAACAGATGCTTATGCAAAAACAAAACAAAACAAAACAACTCTGTTTCCATGAAAGAATACTAAGTTTCTGAATTCTGGAGGAAGTTTCAGTTCTGCTCACAAATGTATAGTTTACCAAATTGCTGTCAATCATAAATAGCTTAGGAGAAAAGAAAAAACATAGATAGCTTAAATCGGGAAAAAAACCAAACATTAAAGAACCAGCAGAAAAAAAAAAGTACAGTCATCAGTTCATTCAACTGCACATTATTCATTCCTGGCCTGTTTGAATCCTCCTTTTTCATTGGTTCTGGAAGTTCTTGCCCAGTTCAGTTTTATGATCTGAAAGTTATTAGAAACCTGTTCTCTGGAGTACTTGTCAGAGTCCTTTCCATGAATCTCTGAACATGAAACACATTTGCAAAAGGATCAGAGTCAAACCATAGCTTCTCTAAGTGACAAAAAGGCTTAAAAATGGCCATTATTATAGCTCTGATGAGAGTTCATTGTAATGCTTCTGACAAGGAAATTTGGTTATTTCTGTGACATACAGCAGTGTAGATACTAACTGGAATTTTATACTATTTCTGGAACACTTACGATAATAATACATCTATACAAATATAATCTGAAGAAGGTATATAGTATCACTTAACCTGACAGTGCTTCCCATGTAATTTAGCACAGCAAATAAGCCTAATGAGTTTTATATCTCTTTTTATAAGAAGAGAACACAAATCTTTGGACATGTTCCAGTGGACCTCTGAAAATTTTCAGAGATAGTTCAAGGTCAGAAAGTCTTCATTTAGAATTTGAGCTGGGGGTTGTCAAAAACATCAGAAGGCTTTAGACACTTGACTAAATGGGATCATCATCATGAAATAATACTTAATTGTCCATTTAACCATAGTGACGATAAAATATCAAAGGCAAATACAGAAAGTTGCAGAGTTGTGAGTAAAACATGGGGAAATCGTCTTCTAAAGATTCAAAGAGCTGAGCTATTGATGAAGATAACATTGAGCACAGGAAATTATTCTCATAAAACGCCCCATCTTTGCTTTCTAGGCAGATTACTTAAAAGCTAAAGAAAAGCCTTTTGCAATCTTATCAGTAGCTGACTGATAGTCCAAGAAAAGGTTGTCCTTTTAGCAGATGAAATTAATTTTTAGTTTTACATAAGTACACTACTGATATGGAAGCTTATTTGTATAACCTTTATAACAAATTCATTCCGTTTTAGCCAGCTCGACTACACAAAGTAAAATTTTCTGTCTTTCTTTCCAACTGCCTATATCCATTTAGTTTGTCCTTTATTATCTTCCCTATTCTGAAATAACCAGCTTTGATATAGGAGAAAATTACTTTCATTCCACTTAACGAAAATACATGTCCGTACTTCATACCTTTCCTCGGCCAAAAACACATTCTATTTTCGCTGCACATGGAGTTAGTTGCTTCTATTATTTCTAGTAATTACATACATGAATTAGAATTCTTAACCCTTAGAACCCATCATTTCTAGTGACAACTAAGTGGTAAGCAATTGTGATCTGTTAACACCAGCATTCAGTAGATTGGTAAATCTATGAATATGTAATTTCTAGAAGCATATGCTTCCTCATAGTACAATTTTTCAGTGTGGCACAAGATATGTTTACTAACAGACTCAGTATTTATAGTTCCTCTGTAGTAAGAAGCCAAAAGTAGATAAACCGATGTTCAGTAATTAATGTTTCAATATTTTATCTTACTTGGAAATGATCTAGTCAGTCCGTGAATTTCCCGTTTAACTTAGCAAAACTAAAGTTTCGAGTTACCAAGGAGATTGGAGAACCTGTTTTTCAGTAGACTTCACCTAAAAACTCTTATCAGCTTATGTCTAAATCACTTGCTTCCAACAATTATGCTTGAATACTCATGCCAGCTTCGTGAAACATCAGTCAGCCAGCATCCCAGGCTGTTTTTCATGCTGACAAATTATGTACCCGACATAACATGAACCTTTTTGAGCAGGTAAACGCCAGAAGAAAAAAAGTTGCCTGTCTGCATCTAATACTGATAACTTTGAAGACATGCCTATTTTAATTAAACCAACAAACTTAGCTTTTATTTTACCTAGGATTAATCTATATCACATGAACTTGAAAGACACTTAGGTTAGTTTCTATATTTCTAAGAGGTTTAGGAATACTTAATTTGGTAAATGCCTGTTTTTCTTTAAGCCAGTCAAAGAGCACTTTTACAAATTCATTTTTGCAATACCATCCCGAGTTGGAAAAATATTACACATCTATAACATACATATGTAGACACACACAAACATACAGACACAGAGACCTTTTAGCTATAGCTCTAAAATTTTAGCCATGAATCAGGCACAATAACATAAAACTCACTAGTTTATATAAAAGAACATTTAGGTTTAGATTGTGTTTCTGGCAGCTGGAATCCGTTTACCTGCTCAGGTGGCTAAAAGCCTGTTTTGTTTTTTCATTTGCCAAAATCCCAAATAACTCCCTTTTTTCCTTCCAGTGGAAATCCCTTCCCTAACATCTGTATTTCAGAGAGGTAGCAGTCAGGTCCTAGAGAAGATAGGGTAGAAAATCTGTCCCTCAAAGGCACAGAGAATGTGTCAAGGATTTTTTTTTTTCTAGGAATTCGGGGGATATCTATTTGCCTATTATCAGATGTCTAAAGTAATTTGTTTCTGCCTCCTTTTTCTTAAGCACAGGACAATTCTGTTTCCAACATCCTCAGCTTTTATAGTACCTACAGGTATTTTGAGAGGACTGGGGGAGGTTTCAGCATTGGTAAGGTTAGGTAGACTTTGAACGGCTTCAGTGTTGCATTTAAAAAGTTTTTTGAGTCCCTCAAAGTGTTTTGAGAAGCTCTTCCAACTCAAAAGATCCATCATCTGGCATTGGCAAGTAGGCTCTTCTATTAATCTCTCTCATGACTCAAGCCAATAGGCCATTCTGTGGTTTAACAACGGACACAAGAGGCATCCCCAGAGACGGTGCCAAAGATGCCATCGTCACAGGACCCCCGGAGTTAGCATAAGAAAGCAAAGACCTCCCTTGCCCCAAGTGGTAAGAGTGGTCCAGCGAAGATGCTAATCTCCAGTTTTCCACAAGAATGTGAGAGGCCTAAGACCCTCTTATCTCCATCATCAGGGAAGGACTTACGGGATTGGACTTTCCCAGAACTAGCAACCACAAAACCTGAGAGGACAAAGGCCCCTCACAGACTGGGGCCCCTAATGACAAACTGCCCTGAGAGCTGGCACAGCTGGACGGAGAGGATGCTGCCTGTCCCTTAGTGCCTCAGATCCCCGGCCTGTTCTACTCGTTGCCACACACCTGTGTACACATGCACCCTCCAGCTGACAGACCAAAAAGAATATTCTCGTGTTCCCAAAGCCAAGCTCTCAAGACCCAGAGCAAGATGAAAGGAAGACCTCATTTGACCTACTTTCTTCTGCTGATCTAAATTTGGAAAGGAAGGGACAAGGTCAAATTTTGACCTTTCTCCCTCGACCTGGCACCAGATAGTAGATCCAGGAAAGCGGGCTTAGGTAAGAATTCTTACCTTCGCCGGCCTCTGCCAGTTTTCCAGGCTCCCATCTGTAGGCTCCCAGGCAAGTATGGTGTCTCACCAGGTCCCAGCATAGGCTGCCAAATAGAGGAGAGGAAAAATAATTTTTCGTCTACCGTGCTTGGTTCTTGGCTGAGGCCCCCACCCGCTGTAATTAAGGATTAATAGAAAAGCAGAAGTTTAATACCATGTGTACCTCCTGTATATATGGGAGAGACCCAGGAATACAGAAAAACTCCCCAAAGTAGCCCAAGACACCACCTTAAATACCATCTCCAGCTCAAGACAAGTGGGTGGGGGTAAGGGAGTGCATTATGGGGGGCTGTCGGGAAGATCACAGTCAACATGGGTAAGGTTGCTGGGATGTGAATTGGTCCCTTCTCCATTAAGAGTTCTTAGAGATCTTGGTCATCCCCTCATCCTGGCAGGGAGAGGAAGACACCCTTACAGGGGGACCTTTCCTTCCCTTATTGATGTCAATGACCCTGACAAGAGGTTTTCAAAACTTTCTCAGGCCTGCTGTTTCTTAAACAATAAGCAGCCCCAGATAATCCTCAAGTCAGGGAAGCGTATTTGGGGGCAGCTAGTCAGGGTCCCCTTCCAAGGTAGGTCCACTGGACGTGTATCTGGGGAAGAAGCAGGAGTACTTTCATCTTGGTTCCATCAACTTTCTCACATTGTAGTTTACTTTTATAAAAAAAAATTTCATTAAAAATTTTAATAAGTTCTGTGTCCTTTGGATTTTCATAGGTTAAGATGCCATATTGTCGAGAGCAGTAAACCAACCACTCTGACATTGAAAGACAGTGCTCTTGCCATGTCCGATAAAACCAGTGAAGATCTTTATCTACAAGTAAGTGTTCTTTCTCCCTAACTAAAAAAGAGTTGGTAATGCTAACCAGTGTTAGAAATCCACTTCTTCCCCACCGATAAAGGGAAGATCTTTGGCATAGACATGACAGGAAGGCTCTTTTCTTTGCGAGGGGAAGCCAAATCCGAAATCCTAAGTGGTGAGTTCCTTTGGGAGATGCATTAACTTTTGAAAAGCTCTGGCCATTTTAATTTGGACAAGGTGTATGGTGCCTTGGGGGGGCGCCAAAGAATTGGAGCTCACGAGAGGGGTACCATTTCAACTTGAAAAAGACGGAGGGGCTCTCTTCCTGCGTAGCTGATTTCAGAACCTCCAGGAAAGGACTTGCTTTGCTCCTTCTCCACTGGAAAAGCCGCCCTTTCCCAAATAAGAGTAAGCAGGCACACAGCTGTTCACCAAACAAATGTAACCCCTTGTTGCGTTTCCAGCTCCCAGCTGCTTAGAACAGATGGACCCCATCCTGTAAATGTTTGGATTTCTAATATTCCTATTTGTCATGCCCATGATTCACGTGCTGTTTTACTGATACCAATCTTTCATTCTTTTTCCCTCCGTAGCTCAATCGTTTACTAGAAAGCAATAGGAAGCTTGAAGACCAAGTTCAGCGTTGTATCTGGTTCCAGCAGCTGCTGCTTTCCTTAACAATGCTCTTGCTTGCTTTCGTCATCTCTTTCTTCTATTTGTTGTACAGTTAAAGAAGTGGCACTCAGTAGGAAACATGGCTCTCTCGATCATTAGCTGGAAAAAGACCCAGAAATTCATACTACTGAAAGTGTCGCACATCTGTGCTTCCTGAAAGGAAACGTGCGACACTTAGAGGGGGACAAATACATATCTTGAAAATAAAGTCTGTTAGAATAAGGACACACTGGAGACATTCATCATAAGAGACTACAGCTAGAGGCTGCCCAGTCAAGGCACAGCCATGTGTAAATTAATACATTAGATAGAATTTATTTTTTCCCTTTGAAGACTTCTAAAGTTTTAAGTTTTATTATATATATACAGTAGCTGAACTGAAACGTGTACGGAACAAGCTTTGTTGCAGCCAATAAATGTCATCTTTTTTTGTTTATGACAAAATCATTATAGCTGAGCCAACTTACTAGCTTTTCTATACTATGTATATAGAACATGTATATTGAAAAAAAACATACTTACAGAGTAATTTCTGTAAACATGACTTTGTAATTTTGAGAATTACTTCCAGATGCTAGTCGATATTCTTTAGGTATGTAAAACTATTTAAGGCCAAACCACCTGTAGCCTTTGTTTCTTATCTGTCTTCCTTAACTTAAAGTCTGCCTTTTATTAATCTCGGACTTTTTAATGAACACTCACGTTTAGGTAGAATTTGGGAAACTAAGTCGTGTTGGGTTTTCCTTGCGTTCTCTCAGTGGCATGGAGAAGAAAAGTCCTTTCGGTCGCACTTCCCAGTCTTTTTTATTCGGTATCACATTGTTTACGGTGGCTGGACACTGACCCGTTTGCTTCAGTTATTAGAAAGGCCTACTCCCAACCCTGGACCACCTACACGCTCTTTTCTAAGCAAGTTAAAATTTCTTTGAAAAGTTAGTTTTTGAGAGGCATAGCCAAGTTCATTTACATTTCAGTTCCTTGGTTGAATCAGCCACAAGAAGGAAACTTGACAAAAAGACTAGAGGACCTAGAAGGGTTGGGGGGGGGTATCAAAACTCAAGTGTCAAATCTCCATTTTTGAGTGAAAAGTAGAATCATGGTCCACTTGTACCACCTCCAGAGTGGGGCTGGTGGGCTTGCTGGATCCTCTCCCCTTGTCACAGTAATCCCAAGGGTGGGTCCTGAGAGGATACAGCTCGCAGGACTGCAGAGGCAGAGGAAATGAGTTGGTTTTCAGTTTCAGTCCGTGTTGGTTCACGTGTAAATCTACTTGCTATGAAAGAAAAAAAAGAATCTGCCTGTTAAATAAATGTTGAGTTTTGATGGAGCCATGCTTGGAGAATGTTCTCTTCTAGAGTGTGGTGTTGGCAGCTTTCATCTGGAGAAGCGGAGGATTCCAGAGCTGAGTTGTAAATCATGATACGATAGAGTCCCCTCAAAAATGGCCTAGAAATAAAACCTTAAAAGGACACTGGTCTGATGCTTTGTCTTAATTTGGGTTTTTCTGTTGTAGTCTGCCAACTCCAGACGTGAAAGTGACTTCAGTACACCCTAAGTACTGGCCATAGTATCTCTCTGTGTGTGTGCACAGCGGTGTCCCCTTCTGTGTCACATCCCCGGCCTGCCTAGCTTCTAACCCCAAAGTATCTGTGTATGTTTTCTGTTCCTCGGCAAACATGAGGAACTCACTGGTCAGAATTGGAAGCGTGCTGTCCTAACAGTGTCCCTTTAATGTTTCCAGTGAAAATGACATTGACTCACTAAGTTGTTCTTCCCCGATGTCTGGCGGGTTCAATTGAATAACCTATCTTGTTAATGTTTGTGTGTCTATTCAGTGAGACTATGCAAGATGACTGAAAATTAACCATAAAATCAAAGGCTTCTAAACTTTTGGTCTTGTCTTAACTAATCACATATTCGATTTTCTTCTGTCTCTTATTTCATCACACTTTGTATGATTATTACTCTAAGGACTCTGATGATAATTTTATTTTTTTATCTTATCATTGGCTATTCATGAGCAAATTACCAAGGATCAACACCGAGATTTAGATTGTTTTCACTTGAGAATGGAAATTAATAGACTTTCCACGAAAACATTAATAAACTATCATTAGCTTGATCTGAAAGTAGCCTAAAAATGCAGTTGCCGTTAAACCTAGCCTCAAATTTCATAGTAATACCATAATTGTTTTTATATCTTGCCACTAATTTTGACTGGATTTAATAGCACTTTATTGTACAATTGCAAAAAAAAATATATTCCTAGAATTGTTGCCAGTGTAATTTCTCTAATATTCTGGTGCTTTTCATATATTTTCAGTATTTTTATTACTATATTGGTATTTCCTTTGTATAATTGATCAAAAAAACATGTTTTCTATTTTAATATGTTTTAGAAAAATAATTACATTTATGAAATAAATATCATCAGGAAAAACTTCTGGTCTCTAATTGATAAAGCATCTTAAAATCAATGTTCAGGCACACTCTGACCTTTCAAATATCACATTAATTTCTTTTGGACCTGCTTTGCATTTTTATAAGGACAGGGCCGTGAGCTTCCAGAATTATAATTGTGTTATCAGGTGAACCTGTCCTTCGTGTGTCCCATTTCTTCTCAACCCGGGTCAGGGTCAGGCTACTCTTCAGTAGAGCTCTCTGTAACACTGGACTCACTGTCAGGACCACAAGCTCTGTCATGGAACCTTCTCTAGGCTGCCCCACATGAGCCAGAACCACCCAACGTCTTCTCAGTCATAGTACACCTTCCTGCCTGACAGGAACCAGCAGGAAGCAGGCTGTGGAGAGACAGCCCTACCTGGCTCCTGGGTCTCGTGGGTGTGGTTAGGGGGGCCCTGAGGATTATTGGTGTGGTCCCCTCACCCCTGGAAGATAACCCCCACGTGGCAGCTACCACTCCATAAAAAAATAGAATGAATAGGACAGACCCATCTTCTTAAACTGAAAAGGAAGTGAAAACACAAAATGATGAGAAAAATTCAGAACAGAGCTACAACAAAGACAAAATGGTGACCTACCAAGAAGGAACACATCTACCTAGGACTGTGAGGCCATGCCCTGCTTTCCTAAAAGATACAATTTTCTAGGAAACAAAAGCTCCCATGAGGAAAGTTCCAGCTAAGGAAGGGCTGGTTCCTTTACAACCATCATCTGCTTTGTTCCCTAAGTTTTCACCAACAACTCAAAGTCCTTGATGTCCAAACAACATCAGCCCCCAGAAGCACTGGGCTCCCTTTCTCTCCCCACCCCGGGAAGACAGAATGGAAGTTGTCCCATCTGTTCCATTGGAGGCAAAGGTGGTTAGGAGCGAGGGCTCTGCAGTCAGGTTAGCTGGGTGCAGCTGCCCTCTGTGCCACCTGCTGCCTGTGTGACAGCAATGTTCATTGACTTCCTTGGGCCTCAGTTTCCTCGTCTCTGAGGCTGATAATTCTCGTGCCGCTATGCAGGACGAGTGTGACAAGGGGGGAAAAGAATGCACTTAAAGCAGCCCTGGAGAGGCTGGCCTTGCTTTTGCTGCTGTTGCCCCCACCACCTTCCATCCCATCTTCCTAGAACCTTCCACACTTGGGTTGATCTTAATGAATATCCCACCTCATTCAAAGCCAATCATCAGTTCTCCAAATGTTTCCCTCTTTTGTACTCCTACCCTTGCCTCCTTGCTACCCCACTCTTAATTCTAGTGCCCAGGTCAAGGGACATGCTTTAGAAGGGTAGTGATGACTGGCTGCCTTAAATCCTCTGAAGGAGTATCCCTTCTAAAAAATACTTCAGTCAGATGGTTCCTTCCACCACTGCACCCACACCCCTTCAAAACCACACACACACACACACACACACACACACACACACACACACACACACGGAATTGATCTTGCAATAGTCCATCCCTAAGTTTCCCTTAAATTTGTAACAATTCAATAAAAATATTAGACTCTTCCACATCTTCGTAATTTTGTCCTTCCACGAATAAAATTACCTCCCTGTATTGTCTAAAGATTCTCTTCCTGTCCGTACCCACTGGTGTCCCCTTCCAAGCAAAAAAAAAAAAAAAAATGATCTACACATGTCAAAGTATTTGAGACAACTGATTCAACAGGCAAGAATATAGAGGAACATCTCCTTGACCCAGAGGGGCAAAATAGGTACACATTTCCAAGTCTTTCTAAAGGGAGAATTTGAGTGGTTCTTGAAACTCTAGCAGCTGGTCCACACTCCTTTGTCCTCAGCAGTCTGGGAATACAAGATAAGGTCTTATGTTTTACACAGAAGGAAACCCAGGGCCAGAGAAATAGTTCTCTGGCCCAAGGTCATGTGGCTAGTTGCCTTCAGAGCCAAGAGCCTGAACTAGTCTCCCAGGTCTAATGCCTATCTGTTTCACAACCACCCAGAGCCTGTCCGAGTAATAGCTTAAAATGTTCAGAGAATAGATCTGAGAACTTTACCTTCACCAAACAGCAGGAGGGGAAAGGAGAAGATAAACTACTTAAAGAGAAGCAGAGATTACAAGACAATTGCCGCTCAAGACCCTTGGCTGGAAAAGTAAGTTTCTTGGTATTCTAAGCTACAGACCGTACCTTGAAAAAGGTTTGAAACCTACAGGTCCATGTACTATTTACTTGGATGGAGGGTTCTGGCTTGTACCGTCAGCCTTGTCAGAGATTTATCTAGCATTCCAGAGAAGGGCCTCTCCTACCCATGTGGCTCACAGTTGTCTCAGCCAGTCTAGTGACCTCAAGGAGTCTTGTGTTCAATAAAATCAGAGCATTTAAGTTTTCTGTTTCCATGTAACAAATGACCACAAATCTACCATCTGAAAACCAACACAAATTATCTTTTGATTTGCATGTGTCGAGCCTGGCACAGCAGGGCTGTGTTGTTCTTCTTGGCTCAAGGTCTTACAACACTACAACGATGCTGTCACCCAACTGCATCCTCCCTGGAGGCTCAACTGGATCAAGATCTACTTCCAAGTGCCTTCGGGTTGTTGGTAGAATCCCTTTTCTGGGGGCTGAACTAGGGTCCTCAAGTTCTTGCTGGCTATCAGCCATGGACTGCTCTCAACTCCTAGAGTCATTCCCACGTCTTTGCTAAACAGCCCCCTGGATAGGCAGTTCACAACATGGCTGTTCTCACTTCAAATCTCTTCTTTCAGGGAGGGCCTGGCCCAGTTAAGGGCTTACCTGATTAGGCCAGGCCCACCGAGGACAATCTCCCTCCTGATGAGCTCAGAGGTAACTGATGAAGAATCTTAATGACATCTGCAAGATCCCTTCTGCTCTATAAGCTAACTTGGATTCTGAGAGTGCTATCCCATATACACTAGCTCTGCCCCCCCACTCAGGGAGGGTTACACAGGGTGTGTTGGGTAGGATCTACAAGCACATCCAATCTGGTCCCCCCATTTTGCAGATCAGGAGACAGAGGCTCAGAAAGCTAAACCAACCCTACCCAGCCTGACTGCTCTGAATTCAGATTCCTGCACATGAAAAAAAATAGCCTCGAATTGTGTTAGGCAACGAATGACAGGCATGGGGACAGGAGGCCTCTATCCCAGTTGGCTTTCTCCGATCTCACAGCTTCAGTGCACACACGTATTAAGGAAAAGTATGTAACCAGTATTTTCTACATTTGTTCATTATACACCCCAGAAACATTCTTACAGTGGATTAACATGCTAGGCCAAAGGGGACTTCCGGTAATTGTGTGCTTCTGTAAACAAAGCTCTAGTGAAAAACAGTTTTTCAACTTTCCCTTTTGGGATAACCCACTCACTTCAATTAGTTTAATTACATTAGTTTTCTTGGACATAAATATGCTCTGTGAAGGTAACTACATGAGAAGGTTTAAAACTAAGAAAGGGGGAAAATTCTTTTCTTACAAAAACTTAACATCATGATTCCCAGCATTTGTACTGTCCAACTGACTTTGGATCAAATTCCAGCACACTGAACTCTACTATTCCAGAAAGTTCCCTGCAAATTTCCAGGTCACACTAGAGATATGTGTGTGTGTGTGTGTGTGTGTGTGTGTGTGTGTGTGTGTGTTGAAAAATCTCACTAGTTTTTAGAAGTCCTCCAGAACAATCCTGCATTGACTCACTATTACCTCAAAATTCAGAGTTGCTCTCCCCTTCTCTCTATGTAGGACTTCTTGTTTCTGACTGCAAGAATCCACCAAACTCTTAATATTATGCCTGTCCCCTGTTGCTCGAACTGGGACAATGACAAAGAAGGGAATCATTTGTCTTTCCCACTCCAATAATCCTCTACTTTTTTGGCACCAGGTCCTTGCTCTAATACTAGCATACAGACTCATTCAGTACGATTACTATTTGTAGTTCAATTTGCCCTGAATTGCTTTTGCCCGCTGATAGGCAAATGTGCTTGAACAACTTGAGTCAAATACCAAATCACTCTTCTCTGTCATAAACTAAATGTCAAAAATGTGTTTGGGGCACTTTTCCAATATTCTAACTCTATGACTCAAGCTGCTTCCTTTTAAGGGAGTGAAGAGGGATAAGGTTATTATTGGGAGCAATAACAAAAGTATGACAGTCGAGCAAAATTTCACTTTTTTTTTAATGTGGCTGAACTAGTAAGTTGCTAAAAAGGTAAGGTAAAAGGAAATGGATATAAAAAGCAAAGCTTCCTTTCAAATATTTACTACTCTGGGATCATTTAACCTACTTAAGAGCTTAGTCATTAAAGGTAAGGGTATATCTTATAGAGGAATTCACATCTAAAGTTATATCTAAATTCTGAGTATACTCAGAATTTCCCCAAGAATTCATTAGAAAGTTGCCACAAGAGAGATGGAGATAGTAAATCTTACCTTGGTGAGTACAAACCTTCATTTTAATACCAGATAAAGTATTTAGTTGGCTTTATT